ATTTGAGCACAGGGATCTCTTGTTTGTTGTATTGTTGGGTCAGTAGCCAGACCTGAACCTTGTAGCTCTCCCCATTGTGTCTTTTCCCCTATGCTAGCATTGTGTCCACAGTAGCATTTACGTAGGCAAGGCAGAGTAGGACTGGCCATAGAGGGATTACTTTGACGCAGTTGGCCAGCTTAAGCATGTATTGCAATATGTGTGAACTAAATATCCCTATTTATTGCATAGTTTGCTTGAAAGGGTGCAGTGTGCAGAGGGTCCTTCAGAATTTCTAGTGGCTACCATGCACAGGTGCACTAGATTTTGAGTGCACCCATTTTACTAAATCTACCCCATAGAGTCCCACTGACTGAGTATTGTTACCCTGTGACATGAAGCACAATCACTGAAGGGTACTAGCAGGATCACCAGGTACACCAACAGCTAATATAAGCCTATTTAATTTTAGGTTTACATACATTTTAAAGCTTTGTGAAATGAGCCTATTAATCTCATTTCAAATTACATATATATCTATTCTCCCATCCATGCTACTGAACACTTCTCTGTTGCTGAGAAATGTTCATATATAGAATTTCAGAATGCAGGAACTCTTAAACCTCAATAAACTGTAAACACTATGCTTAGCAGCTGTATCCAGTCCTTGAAAAGGTTTAAAATAACTCACAGTTTGTTGAGCTAATGTCTTACTGGTAATTGATGTAGACCAAAAACATAATTCAAAAACAGATTATATATATATAAAAAACAGCCTATTACATCTTTATTGCAGAACATAACACCATATCTCAAAACATACACTGTAGGCTTAGACCATAGGGGCCAGAACCCCATATACAACTCTCAAAGGTTCAAGTGTAAAAGTCTTGATGTTGAAGCTTCTTGACACGTTTCAAGTATCACTCTTCATCAGAGGCAAAAGTACACCTAACTTTACAAAAATTAGCAATTATGAACAAAACAAAAGTGAACAATGGAAACATATTGCGACAACAACATGGGAATCTAAATTCTTACAAACTCATAGAATAGTTAGTGGTTGCAAGTCTGATGAGATTTGAAAATAATAAGCCTGGTGGAAATCCCATTGGAATAGGGTCCCAAAAGTGAAAAGGGACAGGTGTAAATACAGAGATCCAGAGGGCAGCTAAGAGATCTGCAACAAAATATGCATACACATTTTAACCATAGGAAAGATCCCCCCAAAAAATAAATAAAATAAACAAATAAATAAATTTAAAAATAATAGAAAAGCAAACAGACTAACACTAACTATAGCCCAAAATGGATCCATCCAGGAGCATGGCCAGCCACAACACTCCAACACTAGGAAATATGCAGACAGTCATGCCTCTAAAAAAATTTCCCTTATATATGGTGCAAGACAGGTAATTGCTGAAGGTGGAGCTAAAAAAATCACAAAGAATACAGAAAGCAGATCAGCATATCAACTGAAGTTACCATGTACAGTATGTGTCTGCCTACTCTGCTGTCCTCTATTGGACCCCTCCCTTGCAGGAAATACATCATTGCCAAGCCAGAAATTATGTCATCTCACATGTGCAGTAGTGGCATGTGACGGCCATCTTAGAACACCCAAATGTGTCCAAAACAACTGAAACACCAGCAGACACGGAAGGGCACAGAGTGCCAGATGCCCATTGGCACACCACTACAAATGTGTCCACAAGGATGTAGAGTGCCACAAAGCTTGCAATACTGCAGCCAGGGGGGTCTTCCATGTCGGCATAACAACCATCCCAACTAACATCCAGCAGGGAGTGTACAACCTACAAAACCAGCACATAACAGTCAGTAAAAGTACATTTCAAAAGAAACACAATATTACATATAAACATATAATCATAAGTCAATAAATATATGATGAAAAATTGCAGAGCTAATTAAGCATAAAATTCCCATTCACAAAAAACACAGTATATAAAATATGTGACAGCATAGTCTATGTGGAGTTCCCATATACGGAGGTAAAGAACCGCGCATAGGAAAAAAGAGTTCCAATCCAAGGAGGAGATTGTTACCTTCCACTCAAATAAATTGGCCTCTAACAGAAGAAATGTGGGTCGGCCAACATGAGCAATAAATATATCACTCCCTTTGTACAGCATTTCAAAAGTGGTGAATACAGTGCATTTTGCCTCTACAAGTTTGGTCACAGGGCATCAGGAAGCACCTGCCTCCTGACAATGTCAAGTGACAAAACGTGTAGAGGAAGGACTTCCAATTGCTTATGCCACATTCGGGGACACCACTTCCTCCACGTGGAATGCACGCTGGCTCTGGTTTCCTAGGGAAACCAGAGCCAGTTAGTAGTTCAAATTTTGCGGTTTGGCTGTCCATACCGGGTGCCGGATGAATTACCGTATGTATTCTTTTACTGTTTTTTAAACTTTAATACACGTTGCACAATTTTATTCTCTCTTTGGCTCTTTTGCCCCTCTGAATAACATCTTAAGGTCAGTGTATATATGTCCTGTGATCTCCCAAAAGTTGGGGATCCCGGATTAGCATAAGGCACATACTGACCTACTTAATATTAAGGGGTCAACTGCAGCTGCTGAGTGAGCATTTTTGTGGGGGCACTTTGGATCACGGCACATATGAGAAGAACATTGTTTATTGTGGAACACAATCACTAATTGTTTGGAGCACTCATTTTTTTTATTGAACTTTTAGCATATGGTTTTGAGTGAGATTCACTTGCATGGACTTATTTACTGCAAATAGTGATTTATGAATGATCTAGTTTGGAAAAGTAATACTAAATTAGAGCACTAATGCATGGGAATCTCTCCCATGGAGCCATTGTGTTCTCCCAGTGGGGGGGAGGTTTTAGGGGAGAACAGAGTGATTACTGCTAGCTGCTATAACAGCTGCTAGGAATAATTGCATGCAAAATCCGACAGGCTGGTAGTACCTAAGTTGATCGATCAATTAACTTGGGTACATTCAGCCTGCCCATACATTGTTTGAATCTAGAGGTCACTTTATGACTTAGCCCCTGGAGGGCTATACAGTATGTACTTAGATATACTGTAAATCAGGATAAATGTGAAACATTCAACCTGCAGCTTTATAGAGCAGAGTAAATCTAGACCCTTCATATAAGACAGTTTATTTTAAACTGAAATCTGTTGATTAGAAGAAATTACACACTCCATATTGAAAAATTAAAAGTATAATAAAAATGACTTTAGTTAACACTATAAAACAAAGAACTGACTGACTGGAGTCTTAAAGGGCCAGTCCAGCTGATATTTCAGCATTAACTTACATTGTTTGCTAAGTGTTTATATTTCTTGGGAAGTTTTTTGGTAAAATCTATGCATTTTATCTTAAATTTTCCAGGTTCATCTCTCTGTGCCATTACATTGTGCCCCCCCTTTCTCTGTTGTACCCTTATTGCAGTACAAAGAAAAATACTTCTTTAATTGGGGAGTTAAGCAGTTAGCCAAATCCTGTTGTGGGGGAACCTCTTGCGGACTTCTCGCCTCGCCCACAATATACTAAAGATGGGCGTCCCGCACAGACAAAGCGGCATACCTGTACATCATTGTCTGTTTCCTGGTTTTGGTGCATGTGCGCATCCACCTGCCTACTCCCGCTGTGATTGTACACAGTGGGAGCCTGCCAATGATTCCGGTCGGAACCTGCTAATCAGTTGTGTACAATCACAGCCCAGACCAGGGGTGGACTGACAACTTATGGGGCCCCCCGGGAAATAGGGGATCATGAGGCCCTTGTGTCCTTGCCCAAACTCAAAAAAGCCTATGAAAAAGGCACCAGGGGCATCTCATGGGGCCCCCTTTTGACCCCGGGCCCTCGGGCAGTGCCCGAGTTTTCAAATGGTCAGTCACCCCTGGCCCAGACCTTTGTGCTGACAATTAATGCAAATATCTGTACAGAGTGAACAATCTCTCTGTTTTTCATACCTGCAAACCGAGACAGAGAAACTAAGAGATCTATTAGTAAAAAAAGCAGCACACTTTACACATAGTTAGGCACACATATAACCTTGATTGCCCTAAATGTTAACCCCTTCCCAGGCAGTGACAGTAGTACAGTGACAGTGTATAGTATTATCACTGATCACTGTATTAATGTCACTGGTGATGTCAGTTGCAGCTAGTCAGTTAGGATAAGTTAGCCAGTTAGTGTCAGATTGCCTTCCGCACTACCGCAGTCCCGTTATAGGTTGCTGATCACTAGTATATATACCATACTTTGCAGGCCCTATAACTTTCACACAAACCAATCAATATACACTTATTGGGATTTTTCTCTTCTCAAAGACATGTAGCAGAATACATTTTGTCCAAAATTTATTAAGAAATTAGTTTTTTTTTAAATTTTTTTTCATTGGATATGTTTTGTAGCAAAAAGTAAAAAATATTGGGTTTTTTTTTTTAATATTTTTCATTTATATTGAAAAAAACTAAAAACACAATGGTGATTAAATACCACCAAAAGAAAGCTCTATTTGTGTGATATAAATTTTGTTTGAGTACAGCATTTCATGACTGCGCAATTACCAGGTAAATAGCTCAGTGCTAAATTGCAAAAAATGGCCTGGTCATGAGGGGGTAAAATCTTCTAAGGTTTAAGTAGTTAAGACACCGATAAACATTAGATTGTTGTTTTTAACTTGCATAAAAAAGTAGGATTGGGTGCCGATGTGAATGTATGTAAAATACCAGAGACTCCTTGGAAGTAGAGAAAAAGAGGGAGCTTATTTGCTAGTTTAAAGTTATTTGCTACCAGGCTGTTTTTGTTTGTGTGTGTCACAGAGGGCCAGTGCCTCTCCCATCCCCCGCCATATCCCTCCACCCCTCCCTTCCCCCTTGCACATTCCGATGAAGGTGTAGCTTCCATGGACAGTGCTGGGCTGGCCGTTGCCGAGGCAACCTAGCTGCATCCCACATGGTTTTCAGAAGACTCACACAGGAAGCAGCCCTCCTCTCTTTGTTCCTGTCCATGCTGCTGGAATCATCTTGCTCCCGGAAAGATGCTGGGAGGCTCGGGTGAGGGGGACCGAGCCTCCCAGCCATCCCCGCTGCGCACTCTGCAGACGCCCAAAAGGTCAGCACTGTAGCCCTCTGCAATACCCCAAGGTTGGGAGTCTCCACAGCTCTGCATGAGCCTTCTCCTCAAAGGTCAGACCCCACAGCTGAGACCCTGTCAGACCCTGCAAGTCTGTAAGCCTGTCTACTGGGCACCCTTGCACCCTGTCCACTGCTGAGTGCCCTGAGAGCTGCTGCTGAGGGACCCTGCGCGTTGTCTGTGGCTGCGTGTCCCTGGAATCTGTCTGCTGCTGAGTGCCCTGGGTGCTGCTGCGGAGGGACCCTGCACACTGTCCGTGGCTGCGTGTGTCCCTGGAAGCTGTCTGCTGCTGAGTGCCCTGGGAGCTGTCTGCTGAGGGACCCTGCACACTGTCCGTGGCTGCGTGTCCCTGGAAGCCGTCCGCTGCTGAGTGCCCGGGGAGCTGCTGCTGTCTGCTGATCGCTGGTTGTCCCTGGAACGCTGACCGCTGGTCGTCCCTGTCTGGAGCCACCTGCCGCTGAGGGTCTGCAAGCTGCTTACCGTGAGTGTCCTGAACTTCCCCTGTTGTGCGCACTGACCACCCGTGTCCTGAACTGTCCCCGCTGTGTGCACCGACCACCCGTGTTCTGAACTGTCCCCGCTGTGTGCACCGACCACCTGTGTTCTGAACTGTCCCCGCTGTGTGCACTGACCACCCGTGTTCTAAACTGTCCCAGCTGTGTGCACAGACTACCCGTGTCCTGAACTGTCCCTGTTGCGTGCACAGACTACCCTGTCTCAAACTGTCCCTGTTGCGTGCACAGACTACCCGTGTTCTGAACTGTCCCTGTTGTGCGCACCGATGTCCCTGGAAAGCTGGGTGGGAGCGGTGCTAGGCCAGACTCCACAGCTGGAGTCCTGTTGAGTCCCCGTGACCCCGATGTCCCTAGAAAGCTGGGTGGGAGCTGTGCTAGGCCAGACTCCACAGCTGGAGTCCTGTTGAGTCCCCGTGACCCGGATGTCCCTAGAAAGTTGGGTGGGAGCTGTGCTAGGCCAGACTCCACAGCTGGAGTCCTGTTGAGTCCCCGTGACCCCGATGTCCCTAGAAAGCTGGGTGGGAGCGGTGCTAGGCCAGACTCCACAGCTGGAGTCCTGTTGAGTCCCCGTGACCCCGATGTCCCTAGAAAGCTGGGTGGGAGCGGTGCTAGGCCAGACTCCACAGCTGGAGTCCTGTTGAGTCCCCGTGACCCCGATGTCCCTAGAAAGCTGGGTGGGAGCTGTGCTAGGCCAGACTCCACAGCTGGAGTCCCCTTGAGTCCCCATGACCCTGATGTCCCTAGAAAGCTGGGTGGGAGCTGTGCTAGGCCAGACTCCACAGCTGAAGTCCCGTTGAGTCCCTGAGACCCCTGCCCAGGGGTAGGTTGCCCGCCTGTTGCTCGAGTCTCTGCTGTTGTCCAGTCACGGAGGAAGCTCAGCTGAGGCGTCCAAAGGGGGGAAGACCGCACAAGCCACCCAGCCGGAGAAGACCCCCCCATGCCTGGAATCGTCCCTGGTTTGCGCACACATCACCCTCCCTGCCATTTCCCCATTGAGTGTCTGTCATTTTGTTGTTTCAATAAAGCTTTGTGTGTTCCCCATCTTCTCCGTGTGCTCTGTCCTGCCTACGCTTCCGTTACAGCTCAATTAACCTTTCAGTTTAAATCAGCTAAATACATTCTAGGTGCATCATTACAAAATAGTGTGCAAAGTCTTACAGTTAATTTTCTTTAAAAAGCAGCCACAGCCTGAGCAGAAAAGCAGAAAAGGAATCCCCTGACATCATGCTGTAGAAAAGGATCCTTGCTTTTTTTGTGTAAGCAGTGGTCTCTCTGAAGAGGTCTAAAATGCCCCCCTACCGCCTTTCCCCACGTTAAATACAATTCCCCATTCAGCAAAGTTCAAATTTAGCAACGGCTTTGCACATCTTTTCTTCTGAAATGCATTTAGATTAAAACTGTACAGTTGGGCTTTAAGTGCCTGGTCACACCAGTGTGATATCAGATGCAATTTTCGAATTTAAATTGCATCTAAAATTGCATCTAATGAATGTGAATGTCAGTATTTTAACATGTGCAATTTTCTGCAGCGTGATTTCTAAAGTAGTTCTTGCATTACTTTTTCTGCAGTTTTGTTGCGATTTCACATACATAGAATATAATGGAAATCACACTGCAAATTGAAAATCTTCACAAGTAACAATAAAGTCTTCAAAAAATCATGCTGAAATTGCATGATTTTAAAATGCAGCGGTGTGACCAGTGACTATTACTTTATGCAATCTTATTTATTATTATTACAGGTACTAAGCGCCATCAATTTGCGCAGCACTCTACAAATAAATTGTACATTTACATCTTTTGCTAACCCTCAAGGAGCATACAATCTAAAGTCCCTAACATATATTCATTCATTCATACACATACTAGGGCCAATTTAGACAGGAGCCAATTAACCTACTAGCATGTCCTTGGAATGTGGAAGGAAACTGAAGTACCCAGAGGAAACCCACGCAGGCACAGCTGGAACATGCAAACTCCAGGCAGGTGGCGCCATGGTTGGAATTCAAACCAACGACCCTAATACTGCCAGACAGAGGTGCTAACCATTTAGCCACTGTGCTGCCCCAGGGTTGGTTTACTAAAGAAGTAAAGACACTTAGCAAAGTGAATGTTGACTGAGCTTGTTAAATAATCTAAACACGCATTCACTTCAAATGTGGTGAAATATAAATACAAGCTTATTGAAGTGAACGGTTGCACCCTATTTAACAAGATCAGGTGACATTCACTTTGCTAAGTGAACAGTTTCCACTCCATTAGTAAATCAAAGTGTCTATCCCAATTAATAAATATTTTTCAGTAGTTGGATCCTTTATTAACATCCATCTTCCATCTTCTGTCAGCCAGTTTAATAGTCGTATATGAGCATTGAACTTCTGTGTGACCTTTAACAATCCTACAATATGCATTCAGTCTAGCAAGCGGCGAAATATACACTCATGATCTCCTTTTCTATTTTAGTTTTAAAAAAAAAAATGTATTTGGTATTTTGTCTGCTTGAGTTAATTCAAGTATTTATGAACAGTCTGCTCTTTTGTCGTTGAAATAATCTGTAATTTGGACAAGGTTATCTTCCATAGCATTTATTCATCATTAAAACAAACATAAAGCAGACTTGACATGTGAAAGCTTTACTATCTGGAACAGCCTGAAGATTTTAACAAAATGTACATTGTTCAAAAGAGCTTTAATTATCTCTTCACAATCTATAATGCATGTCATTAGCATCTTGTTTATGCTCAGATATTTAAAAACCTAAAAAACTCAACACTTTTCAAGCAATTGTAATCATTAGTGTATATCTTGGAATTTGAGTTTTTCTTTGCAGCCAGAACTTGGCTATGTCAGTTTACCCCATTATATACAGTACGATGTCTGTTTATATGCAGGCCATTACATCTAATGAGCACAAGCAATATACTAATGTATATCTAAACTCAAAAAAAAAAGTAATTAAATTGCAGAGTCCTTCGATGTGGTGGCTGCATTCATTTTTAGTCTTTATTATCTTTATTTCACCTGGTGTTTCTGCCACACTTTCTGACCTAGTGTTACAATGTTCACTCCTAAGAGGATAAGACTACAGAAACCTCCCACTCTTATCTTTTCCACAACAGAGTTGGATGTGGATCTATGGTCTTTAGAGATAACTTGAACAATGTAACTAGTAAAAAGGCAGCACAGGTAAAGAGCACAAGAAGTTATCAGCTCAGAAGATTTTTTGGGTAAGAGGTATTTTTTTGCATATACCAAAATGCTTTCAATTGTTTTAACAAGCCAAAAAGGACAAAATAAGAGAAGCTGATTGAGTTTATTTTCCCTTTAGCTTATGTTTTATAAGGTGCATGTGGAAAGGTATGCACACATGAAGGGTTTTAGGCAAGACATAGATCTTTCTTTCCTTTCACCATGGGTTGAAGAAAAGAAAATCACTTGATTCCCCACCAGCACAGTCATTGTTGATGGGGGAATCCCTCCTACAGTGCTATTGTGTTCTGCCGTTATGAAGCCTTCCTGGCCAGCGGAACACAATGATTACTGCTAGAGACTATAGCTGCCAGAAGTAATTGCATGTAAAAAATCTGACAGGTTGGTTGTATGGAAGTCATCAACTTGGGTACAACCAGCCTGCCCATAGATGGATCAAATTTCATCCAGTCCCTACTGAACCAGATGAGATTCGATCCATTTATGGATGGCTTAAAGGGAATGTATAGTGATTGTGTACTTTATCTTCTTACTTAATAAACTAATCAAAAATGAAAAAATAAAATAAAAAGTGTTTCTTTGTTGTAAGTATTTGGTTGATTATTGAGCTCATTAGCTCAAGCTGAAGTTTATAAAAACAAGTACACAACTGTGGAAACTTTATAAAATTGTCCCTTTGAAGAGGAACTTCATGGAGATATGCTTTGTAATAGGGGATGTTTAGAAATGTTAATTGTGCTAATTGATACTGTTGTGGCAGTATTCTAAAAAAGTTACATTTGGTTTTGAATTGATCCTACAAAACAGCATTGCACTATGTGAGTGTGCCTTGGTATTCCTGTGCCTACAGCCTCTTAGCTGTATATCTGCAGTGTAAGGTCTAAAGCATTGCTGCCTTTGATTTAGAAGATTTAGAGTGCTGCTCACTTCTGTGCCTCTCACTGTTCTAGCTGGAGGCTAAGGCATGGCATGGTATGGTAAGTCAGTGGAGGGGTAAAACAACTGCATGAAGACCATGGCCAATACTGGTGACTAGTCTTTTGTGTTCTTGCCTTTCTTGGAAATCTTAGCTTCTGTTTTCTGGCTAGGCTGAGAAACACATGAGAGATACAGAACTGAACATCAATACTATGCCTTTTTTTTTTTAGCTTTGCAGAGACAAGGAAAACATTACAACTTCTGTTGAGTTAAAGCACAACTAAAGGCAAAACATTTTTCAGTTTTGGATAGAGCTGAGATGGATTAGAACATGTGGTAGGTTTTAATTGCTGTCTGTTTCTCCTTAGGGAGATTCACTCTCTATTTGTCATATTTATTGATATCACCAAAAGTGAACTGAAAGAAAACCCCAAATTCTGTATTGTCACCAGAACAGGAATAGGGGAGGAAATCTTCCAAAGGGGGCACTTGGTCTAGTGAACCAAGTGACAACCAAGGATTCCCTACTTTGGTGGAATTTACTCTCGTTTCCCGTTTTGTCTATGGGACATCAAGTGAAGGGAAATTGGGAATGAGATGGCAAAAATAAAATTCACAGAGGATATAATCCTCCCTTATTCTATCCAAAACAAAATGTTTTGACTTCAATTCTGCTTTTGACCATGTACCTGTTAATTGATTTCCTAGAACTTACTGTTACACCCTTACAGAGTGCCACTAGAACAGAAAATGTGGAAAAATGTAAAATAGATTTTTAACCCTTCCTCACTCTACTAAAAAAAGTCATTTCAGTATTGTGTCTGCTTTTGAGAGATTTCCCTCCTCTTCAGAAAAGAACATGGGTTTGGTCTGAACCCACAAGCTAATTGTCATTGTTCAGCCAATGAGCTGCTGGCAGGAGATTCCCAACCCACAGCTGCATGTATATAAAGGGTAGGGGATGCTCATAACATCACTGACCCATGTGCCCATAATAGGTCAATGTGGTCATGAACATCCTTGCTCCTTTGAGTACATAAACTGCAGAGAAAGGAATCACCAGGCACTTTCCCCAGCCAGCTTCTGAACACCCCCTCCAGGCATTGGTTGAGGTACAGTATGATAAATATTCATAACTTTACAATTATTGACCATCTTGCTCTATCCTCTTGAAGCCTCTTCTAGAAACAAGCAGGAGTAATTATCACGCAGCCTGTGAAACCCTGACCAGATCATAAAATTGATCCTTGCTCTACTAACTACAGTGGAGCCAAAACAAAAACT